GACGGTTTGCGAATGGTGGGTGTTGCTCCGACTCCAAAGATCAGAGCTCGATAATTGGACCGCGCAGGAGCGCGTTGAAGCCCTAAGAACAAAACTCGGAAGATGGATTTGGAATGCTTTTACATATGACCTAGCTACGGATTCGATTCACGCGATGACAAAAAGCGGCGTTTGGCCGTTCGGTGCCCAGTAGTTGTAGGGAAGTAGAAGTAGAAGTAGTGGTAGTGGTAGTGGTAGGAGGAGGAGGAGGAGGTGTACAGGTATGTTGTACAATGCATTGTACATCGGTCAATTTGACGCACGCTTGCACATACATGCGCATGTGTATGTATGCATCTTCACGTATTCGCTTGTGTTTCGGAGGTTCGATTGGTTTTTGTCGAATTGTATGGCATAGATCTTGGAGTTTGCGTTTGCTGTTGTCGGCGAGATTCGAGTGATTCGAGGCATCTGCACAATGGCAGCAGTACAAACTCGTACAAGGCAGGAGTCCGCACCAATGCAGGCTGTACCTTCCTGCCCTTTGAAACTCGTCCAGGCCGATGAGGAGGCGTGCTAAGGCTGACGTGAGGCGAGTTGAGATGAAGTCTGTCTCGAGTAGATTAGCGGCTGCCGAAGGCACCGGTTCTAATTCTCACGTCAGCTCTCACAGACGAAAAACACTGCGTTGTATCTGACTTGCAGAGGATAGGAGGCAACCGCACAAGGTCGTTTGTGTTGTTACTCGTTGAGAATGCGTCGGTGTTTTGTTTGAGCCACCCAGTCAGAAGTCAGGAGTGTTAACAGATAGGTCTGCTGCCCACGGCTCAAGGCAGTTCCGCCATGCGTTGGCAACCGGACCAGGTCGTTCATGTTGTTTACAAAGCTTAAGGTTTGCCCGGTTGAGAGAAGTATGCGCTGTTTTCCGATTTGAGCCACCCAGTCAGGAGTCTGAAAGATAGTCACGCGCGGCTCCAAACAATTCCGCCATGCGTTCCTCGCAGGCGCTGCTGCGTTTGGCCGGAGGTGTGATCATGTCAGACACATTAACACGGGATGGTTCGACATGCCATACAGGTTTTTGTGAAATTCGCTTTCGGATATGATTTGCTCCTGGCCAGGCCTTGCCTCAGCACTTCTCTTAGTTTGCGCTCTGCTCTTTGCAGTCACCGCTCGAAGCTGAGAAGCACTCCGACAGTTCCGGTGTTGCCAGGGCTGTCCTTGCATTGATGTTGGCATTTGGACTGCAGCCTGCAAAGACCATGTTCGCACACGGTCACCGAGTTTGGCAGAAGAGAGGTTTTATTGGAAGTGCGGTTTCAAGCAATCAAAATCTCTCAAACAAAGAGTAGACCAGCAACGATGGGAAGCGGACCTTACAAACTCGGGCCTCTCGGGGCTTTTTGGATCAACGATGGACCGCCCTTTAGCCCAAAAGGACGCTCCAGGCCCCAGATTCTGCACCTTGTCGCCCTTTGGTGAGCAGATTGCTTCGCAGCTGTATGAGGACTTGCTGCAGAGTGTTGCGCGGGGCCAACTGCTTCCGTCCTTGTGTAGGCCTCAGTCGGGAGGGATCCGTGGGAACCTCTGCAGTTCTGCCAGTTCTGCAGCCCTGTCCGTAAGCCGTACCGAGCGGATGACATGGGTCACGAGGCACTTTCTCGCCGAATGTATTGTATCTTGACTGCATCGAGCAATCATGGCACAAAGCTTCGAGTGTGGCCGAGCCAGGTGCTGGGAGGAGCAGGCGAGCCGAGTTGCTGATTTGAGCCAGCTCGCTCATAGGGATGCTGCTTTCAGGCAGCTTTGAGGTGCGACTTTTCGGGGGCGCGTCCTTCATCGCAGGTGTGGCCGGTGTCCTTGCAGAGATACGGCCCCACCCAGCCGGCACCCAAGCAACCCGAAGCACAGCAGATCGGAGGCAGTGGGAGGGGTCACTGCAGGTGGTGAGCGAGAACTTCCCGTGCCCCCATCAGTTTGTACATGAAGCAAGTCGCAATGAATTGTTGGTACTTACGTACTTACTTGCACTGAGATACTTGTCGGGATTGCTGGCATATGGTGGCATATATAGTAAGGAGTTGCATATGTCTTAACACGGAGTAGTTTCAGGACTGTAGTTACCAGACGCAGCATGAATTAGGAAGCACGGCATGACATGCAGTTAGTCAGGCTTCGACAAGATATTATGACTCTGCGACACGGCAACTTTCACTTCAAACCTTTGCCGTGGGCCTTGAGGGGAGGTATCATACATGTTCCGAACGTCTCTTTTACTGAAACTGTTTATTCATCCCCTGCTTTACATCATGATGAGACTGCCACTTTCCAGATACCTGACTCGCCTCAGCGGTCGGGCTGCAGCTTACAGCCTGCTGGGCCTGCCTAAGCCTCAGTCGCGGCGTGGCGTTACCCTTCTTTGCTGCCGGTTTGCCGCCACTACAGTCGCCAAGGTACCTCGTGGGAAGGAATCCCTCTGGCTGGAGGCATGTCTGTAGCAAATGTCGAAGATATGCGTTATCATTTCGTGCGCATTGCAGTCGAGGCGTGCTGTGGATGTAGCAGTACATGCCTCAGACTGCTGACTGCTTAAAGATGAAAGTGCGGCTACGATCATGGCTCATGGCTCCCAGTGTGATACTGAATTATGGCCTGAACAGGATCCGAGCAAGAATAGACGCCGCATTTTTTGTGGAAGCACCTCCAGACAACATAAGCAGCAGCAACCGGAGGAACAGGAGTGGAACAGCAAGAGGAAGTAGTGCAGAGGCTCATTCATTCCGACCAGATGTTTGAAGACTTGCAGGAAGTCGGAGACGACTCCGTACTGCGATGCCCCTAAGCACGGATGGCACATTGTGAGTCATTCTCCCCAACTCAACTTCACCAAGCGGTTGTAACCTCTCCGATTAAGTTGAGATGCCAGGCTTCGTAGTTGCAGGCTGAAGCGCCTTTGCAAACCCAGTGTCAAGCTCCTGCATTTCGAGGCACTCGCACGCAACAACACACGTCTTTGCGTTTTCTTGTACGGAGCAAAAGCCCGAGTCTTGAACCATTCTGATGCTGACCAGTCTCCAAGCTTGTCTGTGTGATGGTTGGCCGTGCTGCAACAGTATGAGAACAAGAAGACGACCGAAACAAAGTTCTGCACAATCACTGACATTCAAAGTATCTTCACTGCCAGAACTCTCCACTTGGCATCACGGCCACCTGAATGCACCGTCGTTTGCCTCGTGTATCGTATGTTTGATGACAAAACGACTGCAGCAAAGAGCGTCTTGGAACCTCATCGCCTGTTCGTCTCCACATGTATTGCCAAGTATGGTTCTCTTGATTGATATATCTATCTGAGTCGAGGTCGGAGGCTTCTGTCTCGCCGTAGCAGCTGCTGGCTTGGCCCGGGCCTTTGCGGCAACGTGGGGAGTCTTCGCGGTTCAGGTTGGGAGGATCAGGCAGATGCCTCTGGTGTGCCGCTTCTCAGGCGTTTTCGCGGCACCTGGGAACACTGCCGGCCGGCCTCAACCACTTGACCAGCGGAATGATCAGCTCGCAAGCTGGAACCGCTGGAGCCGAGCCAAGCCGGCATGTCAGCTGCCTGCCGTTTGCTTCTGTCTCATCCCATCCCATCTCATCTCATCTTTTTTGCAGGCGCGAGCTGCAGCCAACGCAGCCCGTGCCGTCGCCGGCTCCGGCGCCCTCGCCGATGAATCCTCTGAGCACTTGAATAAATCAGGAGCCTTAGTAGCCTCAATGATCCTTGATGCATGCCATCGTAGCTCACAAGCGGCCAGTGCACAGTCCTTTCAGCAGCGCGGCTGTGGCACAACATGAGGACTGCGAGTGGCAGGGTCGAGCTGTGTCGTTTGATCTGCAGGCTGTGCAGGAACTCTGTCGTTTGTGGTCCATCAGTTTATGATGACTGCGGTCACGGGCTACTTTTGCTGGATGGGAAGGGCTGGATCGTAGGCGAGAGCCCAGCATCGCCTGTCAATTGACATTCTCGAGCCAGGGCAGCCAGGAAGCGGATGCGACCCAACCCAGTCAACTAGAAAAATCTTCGTACGTGTCGGACATTGTCGGCATCATCCTTAGGCAGCAACGGCTGTGTGCTGTCTCCTTCCCCGCTTCTCCGTGAAGGGCACGGCTACCCAGTGACACCCACTCTGGGCATTCAATGGGCAATCTTATTTGCAGGATGTGTCTCCCTCCCTACCATGAGAGTCGTCTTCCGCAGCGAGTGAAGCATCGCTGTTTGTGTTCATTCTGGTTGTGAAGGAGCTCCACATCTCACGCAGCGCTCCAGCTCTCCCTTCTTCCTTCTTCGTTGTACGGAGGAGAGTTTCTATCCGGCCAGGACAGGAATCTTCTCAGGTCATGCTCGGCTAGTTGAGGGGGGGTGCGGGGTCACTGCAATACTGTATCGCTGGAGTTATGGTTCACAAGTCCCTTTTTCTGTTTTGCTCAGCTCCTCACGATGCAGCAAGAAGACACTCAACACGAAGAAGAAACGGAGTCGAGGATAGGAGAGTGTGTTTGAAAGGCTACAACCATCAAAGACGAGGTGGGAGCCCAGTAGTGGAGACTGAGACAATTCAAAAGTCCAGGACACCGTAGGAAATTTTAGCCGTGGACAGTTTTCCGTCGTTTGATTGCCCACAAGAATACAGTACGTGGCTATAGGTCGTGGTTGAGACTTTCGGTCCTCGACAGGGCATGCACTGTTGAGTTTCACGGGCTTCACAGGAATTTTTGTTCTTTCAGTGATTGCCTTTGTCTGGAAGCAGTCAGGCGGCATTGATTGCGATCTGCTCAGATCTGTGATCTCACAGTTCCAGGTCAACATTGGCGAAAACTACCATTCAAACAAAGCTTCTTATCCATTTATATCCCTGCGCTCCGAAGCGGACGTAGTTTGAAGCCCTCCACCCTTTCTCAAGTCGTTATCTATTGACCATGGCATAGCGGCTGCATTTGAAGCCGGGGCTGCATGGCGCTGCGCCGAAGGAGCATGAGGACGGACAAGGGCACTAAATGGATTCGTCCAGCAGCGCTGGCAAGACTCGGATGTTCTGGAATCTCTATCGTGTAAGCCCATTGTGCGAGACGGCAGCCACGGCGTGACAACAGTTTGAGCTCCCTGGCGGTGGCGCAGTTGATAAGTTGAGGATCTGCTTAACATGCATGGGTACAGAAGTGGCTCTTCGAGTTTCATGGCGGTTCGTTGCTGCAACTTGTGATTCTGATTTACACAAAATGCAGAGTTCCAACGGCACGATCATCTGTCGCACTGTAAACAAAACCGATTTGTAGACATGCTAGTTCTCTTCATACTACTAGCGAACAGAACCCTGGTAAGACGTGAGCCTTCTCTGTCGCAGTGGCTAGGAGCTGCCACCGTGGTGCCTTGGAACGATTACGGTTACCCTTGCAACACATCCCTAAACCCAATCCTAATACCTTAAAGCTGATGCGCACTGGTACTGAAACCACCTATACACCCCAACCCCTCGACCCGCAATCGTTAATCTGCGAAGTCACGACAACTCCGAAGCCGAGACCCCCCTCCCCCTCCCCCGGATCCCTCCGAGGATTCTGGCTTGGGAGTATGTAGATGTTTGAGGCTTGGGTGTTTCGGGATTGGGGTTTGGGTTTAGGATGCAGGGATTTGGTTGACACACTAACAGCCGTCAACTACAACGAACCTTTTGAAGACACTGCCGCTTTAAGGCCTATATAGCCGAAAGCCTGAAATCCTAAAGCCTGGGTTTGCAGGGCTTCGGGTTTAGGCGTTCTGATGGGTTCGCGGCGCGCCTGAGTTGTCTCGTCCGAGCCTGGCGTTTGCGTAGATCCGAAGTTCCTACTGCCGCTTGAAACCTTCAACTCGTCAACCCAAATGCCCTCAGGTGAGCCTCAACTTGCTTGCCATATTAACCGTAATCATACTTACCCGGAAGCCCTATAGCCTTCGAGTCAAAACCCTATAAGATGTTGAACCGGGCGCTCTACTTCAACTCTATGATCCTACATCTCCGAAACTCTGTAAAAATACACACGTAAACCCTAAAGGCCCATAGGCCTATACACTCCTCAACTCTACGCCTGTAAACTGTAAATCCTTACTTATGATTATAAGACCCTACAATTAATTATTGCCCTTACAAAACCCTGATAAAGTCCTTGTGATGCCAAGGTGCTGAAGGCCATGGGACCCCTTGCTGAAGCCTCGAAGGCTTGCGGGACGTGGGAGAATAATGAGTGTGCGTGCAGGAAACTGTGGAAATAAGAAGGGGGATGTTGGCGTATTTTTCGGAGTTATTGGGCAGGGATAGTACCAGTTATTCCGGCCTCTGTCTAGGCTACTTCAGCATTTCGAGCTTGGGACGCGTTGCTTGGGTCTTGGGGTTTCGAGGTCGGAGCTCAGGGCAAAGGCTAAAGCAGTGCAGTCCCTTCAGCACTCAGGCTCCAATCTGGAGCCAAGTCTACACAGAATTGGAGAGCTTAGGTGCAACAGTACACTGTGCCGGGAATTGCAAGGCTGAAGGCCCTCGCCGCGACAGACCTTATTAGACAAGAAGAGCGTGTTCCAGAGAGGTGGAGCTGCAACACTTTGCATGCTAAATGGACTGCGGCGTCTGCGGCTCAAGCTCGGGTTCGAAAGTAGCCTAGCGCTGCTTCTTGGCTTGCTTTCACGACCACTTCGAAGGAGGATGCCTACGCCGTCTCTGGGTGGTCGGGAACCAACTGGCTTCTCCCACAAAGCACGGGAGGGGCACCGGGAATCGGCTTTCGTTCCGAGAGATCCCGAGACTTCAAGTTCAGCGTTGAATTCCGATGTAGGATATCTTGGCAGGGCAGGATCGTTCTACACCGCCTGGTGCCAGATGCACGAGCTCTTCACACCCATGACCAGCGAGGTCTCGACGGTGTGGGATGTCGAGTTCTTTCACCCACCCCCTCCTCCGCCTCCTCCGCCCCGGCACCGACGGTTTTCATTCTGGGACGTTGCCGCCACTGTGCCGCAAGAGCGGCCCGAGAACTCCGAGCTGCATTGGACCAATCCTTACGGGCCAGATCCGCCAGCAGAGGTGGCGCCTCCTGCCGCGGAGCCGGTGATCGAAGTTGCTTTCCACAAGGCGACCAAGGCCTCTGAAAGTTCGAGCTCATGTCGCGAAGAAGGTTTCATGCCTGATAGCAGCTTTGCGGATGATGATGTGTCGAACCCATGTAGCTCCATTCCCCCAGTGCAGGAGCCGGCTTTCGCAGCCTTGGCGAACCTGCAAGTGTGTGCAGAAATGCCTGGCGCACCAGCGTCCTTTACATTGTCCGAGTACTACAGCATGCAAGGTCCCTTGTCGCCGTGCTCCCCTGCACCAACTGAAAGCTACGGCGGACGAGAGCCGCGGTTTTCCCAAGCGACTACGGTGTACAAATACGGACAGGCATTGTCCCCCGCGTCCACGCAAGTCGGCGCTCCATTGCCCGAGCATGGCGGACAGGGCTTGGCAGGAGGTTTCAGCCCCAAATTCCCACCTGGCGCGCCAGCGCCAAGCCTGACGATTTGCTTCGTCAGCACAATGACTGTCCATTTGGGATGCCGCCTCCGGATGACAACACTGCCCATCGGAATTGGCCTCACTTCTCTCAGGACCGAGATGACATCAGCGAGCATTGCTTTGAGCAGTGCTCAGATCAATGGTGCGGACTATTTAGCAGCTGTTGCTAGGTCCCTCAAGTAGTTTTGAACTTCGTATTTTGGGGTCTCCCTTGGAGCTCTCAACAGGAAAGACTTGGTAAAGAACGTACCCATAAGGAGAGATACTGCGGAACCTAGGCTGCCATGCATCAGCACCAGAAACCTGCAGCCGCTGCGAGCGGGTCCTGGGATCTTTTCTTGATCATCATTGTCCGAAGCTTGGTCAGCGTTAGGCATCCTGTTTGCTCGTTGTGGTTTGGACTTCCCGATGGTTTAAGGGCCAGGGAGCCCATAGAAAGGATCTGTTTTCCTTCTCCTTCCTAACAGGGACCGAGGAAGTGCTCCAGAGCCGTTTGCGTAAACTGCCTGGAGAAAATGAGCGGCCAGACTTTCCGGTGCAGCTGTGGAGATGAGCGGAAGTTGGAAAGCACACTTTGGATGATCGGAGCATACAACTCCGTTATGAACGGATTTGCTTTCCTCACGGGCGCAAAGCCTGCCGGAGCGTTCCAAGGCTACACTGCCATGCCCTGGCAGAGCCACGCACATTCTGTGCCAAGTCCTCTGCTGGAACTTCCACCGCCTCCAAGCACTGCAGTGCCACAGCACCGGACGCTTTGTCCGGTTACTACGAAGGAGATGCTTCCTCCCGCTGCACCGCTGCCGGCACCCCAATCCTTGCCGTCCCTTTTGGGCCACCGGCGCCGTGCCTCCCAGGTCGCTGATGTCTTCAAGACACATTTGCCGGGGGAAATGCCCTGCAGCCCAACGGCCCAATGATGGGGAAGTGCAGGGTCAAAAAGAGACCATGCGCAGGAATTTCTGTGAGCTCACGCAGCGATGAGTTTCTTGGGTCAACCCCCCACTTAAAGTCCCTGAGACGAGGCCTGGCTCCCCACGGCAGCCGGCACTGACAGCCCTAACGCGGCGTTGCGAGGCTGAGGGATTTTAGGTTGGAAAGTTGAGGGTTTTGGTGTTTCTGCTCCAGTGCTGGGTCCTGCGATGCTTATTACCAAGTTAGGCTTTACGCATGTGGTTACACGGTTTCGGTTTCCAGACAAGAAGCCTTGAGTTTGGGGCTTAGGAATTCGAAGGGCTTGCGGGTTTAAGGCTTAAGTTTAAGGATTGCAAGGGCTTTGGGTTGTTTTGAACAGGCAAGGTGTAATTATGACTTTCGTCATATATGGGTTTCGTGTTTCAA